GAGAGAAAATGTTTTGAGAAACGATGTACAAATGCGCTTTACACAATTGATGTGTGTATGGATTGGGATAACAGTTGTATGAGCCCCTAATAAAATGTAAAAAAAAAAAAAGAATTAAAAAAAATAAATTATCCATCCACCTTAAAAGATTGAACGCCAATCAATCCATCTAATTTATTTACAAACAAATTACATATTAATAAATTACATAACCTGTTGTTTGAAAGACAACTCAACACAAGGTTGATGGTTAAAATGCAGTCATTTTGTGGGAGAAAGATGATGTGATGTGCTCCTGTAAAGATTTATAGCCTCAAAAACCCTACAGAGTTACACCTAACTCATAATCAGGTTTAGGCTTTGGCACTAGATTGAGGTTTGGGTTTAATACATAAGAGTAGTATTAATTCTTTTATCTACTTTAAAAATTACATAAATGATCAGAATGCTAAACGTTTACTAGTGAAATGTATACTTATTTGCTTCATTTGGGGAGGTTCCCTTTATTTTCTATTTTCATTATCTTCACAATAGGAAGTAGCTTCAGTCTCATAAAGTCAGGAGTAAGAAAGTCTTCAGATTAAATCCACCTGTCTTCATGGGATTTAACATGTTCCAGCAACCAAAAGTGAAAACTACCAACTTTTAAGGGGCGTAACTCACCCCAAGTTTTTGTCCTTAAACATACAGAAAAGTCTACTTAAATCAGTGTGCAACAATTAACATTTTGCTCAATTTGCTATCTGCAAGTTATAGACATGACCTGTCAACCTATTTTTCTAATACATATCTTCTAAAAAATAAGAATCTAACAAATGCAACTTCATTCATCATACTGTACCTAAGAAACTTAACATGAATTTTAACTAAGTAATGTCACAATGATTTGTGCTGAACATCAAATAAGCCTACCTTTCAAAATTTGCAAATATGTTTATGTGAGATGTTTCAGATACACAGTGTCCCACTTTCTGGAGGCTCAATGCCTGCTTATGTTAAATAGATTTGGCTTCATATCATTTCTACAAGACAGAAAGGAAATGTCCCACAGAATTTCCAAGACTGTCAGCTTTATGCGAGCAGATGGTTAGATCTGTCTCCAACAGTGTACCTTGTGAGTTACGAAGCCCTGGCCTTTCTAGTTAATAGTCAAGCAAGTCACCACAGCACCTCTAGGACTCCTCAGAGGCTGGAGGAACCCCTCAAACTATTGCCCTACAAAAATCTTTAAACCTTCAACCAAAAATACCAAGTTTTCTTAAGAGCAGACAGTAATTTAGTTTCACTAGTAAAAAAATATCTTGCTTTGAGCATTATACTCTTTTTCAAGATTTTATGGGATCAATGGACAGCAAGTCAAATAATTACATAGGAACTTAGGGAGCAGTGAGCTTATGTTAAAAGGGTGAAACAACCCAGAAAAGAGAATGACAATGATTGCATAATTCAAAGAATGAAATCAAGGTCACTGAATTATACATGCAGAAATTGCTTAATTGATGTATGTTCTGCTATGTAGTCTTAGCAACTAATAAATTATTTCCCCAAAGTCTCAGGTTCCTCATTAAATGACATTCTATTACTAATATCATTTGGTTAACTAGCTATAAATCAATTCAAGATTCTTTATTTCGGCATATTTATTCATATATAATTTGTTGGCACAGGAATATACCATGGATGGAGAAACACACTGTAACTAAGGCTTTCCGTTACTGAAAAACAATTCATGGAAGAGCAATTTCAGGTTTCATGCAGTTTTTATAAGTCCAAAATGGTTATCTATTTTCCTTGTCATTTACTCTCTATATTTTAATGTTTCAACTGTGAAGCACTACCTTACATAAACCATACTAATTTAAAAAAAAAAAAAACCATACTAATTTGAGGCAATTATTAATCATTTTAAGTGAATAATCCATCAGACCAAATTTATAAACCATCTCTGGAAGAGATAAATCTCATTGAACTATTGTGGTACAAGTAGGATAAGCTCCAAGTGAAGAGTTTAGTGAAAAACAAAAACAAAGGAACAGGGTAGTAATGGTCAAGATCAGTATACCTCAGCAGGAAGGAAGAAAAACTGTTAAGACGCAGGTATCCTACCAGATCACTCAACTGCTGCTAATCAAATGGGGCTGATGGTGGTTGAGTCAACATACCAACACACCTTAGAAAAAAAGCCCAAAAATGTGTCACTGAGAATCCCCTGGGACACAGTTCTACCCTGACACATGGAACCTTCACCACAAGTAATAATTGTGTAGAATTGCCCCTGTGGGTTTCTGAGTCTGTAACTCTTTGTGGGAGTAGAAAGCCTCACATTTCTCCTGACAAGCGACTGGTGGTTTACTCACAATAATTATACGTGAATTGAAACTGTTTAAATATACCTCTTCTGTCTATTTCTCTATACTCACTGCCATTCTGACTCATGGTGACCCTATAGGGCAGAGTAGAACTGCCCCTGTGGGTTTCCAAGACTGTAACTCTTTATTGAAGTAGAAAACCTCACCTTTCTCCCAAGGAGTGGCTGGTGGTTTCAAACTGCTGAGCACACTAGGTTAGCAGCCTAGTGTGTCACCACTATGCCACCAGGGCTCATCCAATTTTCTATGTCTCATCAAGTGACGAGGTGGGACAATGCAAATTAAGTGTAAAGGATTTTTAAGTAAGGAATGACCAGTTTTGCTCTTCTTTGTAAGAGAGCCTGCTCAGAAACAGAGACAGGCAGGTTTTTGTTCCATCATGGGAGAAGAGACACCAGTGGAGCACATTCAAGATCTCAAAGTAGTGGAGGCAGCAAGAAACCTCTGGCAAGACCAGAGGCACCAGACTGCAACTGGGTTTCCCAGCCTGCAAAAATCAAATGGCCAAGGAACCCTTACACTTCCCAAATAAACCTCCTAATTTTCAATATTTTCCTGGAGTTCTGTGTTGTCACTGCAACTGACTAACAAACCCAGCAGAGACAGTGTCATGGAAGGGAAGGTTGGTGTCAGAACCAGGGTAGGGAAGGAAGAATAGAGATCTCTGCCTTGTGGCAATTGATCTGTAGTCAAAGGATGTCAGATGTAGCCCTCACACCAGTTACTCATTACTCAAATGAAATGTATCATTTAAAAAATGATCTTATGACAGAACAGCAAAGTGTATGCACATACAAAGAGCACATGGCAACAGAAAAGTCATGACAAATTCTAAAAATGCACAAATTGCTAAAAATTTTATAAATGCCACCTTTAGGGAGGAACACAAAACATTTTAACATTCTCTTTTCTACTATTTGGCACCTCAGAATTTTC